GAGCTCTGCATACAATTTTCCATATCGGAAAAATGCAGACTTTCGTTCTAACCCATTCCTAATGTTTTTCGAGCTACATTTTTTTTTAATTTTTCTTCAAAAATACTGTCCAAGCTTTAACCAAAACCATATAAACCATTGTTTCAAACTTTATATAAAATTTAGGAAAACTCAAAAAATTTTCATCAAAACGTAAACTTTTTGTTCTGAATATTTAGAACATTTTTTGGTAAGTAGTTTTATAGCAATATAGATAATGAAGTGCCAGTTTCAAACGGCAAAAAATCCCGTTGATTTTTGAGAATTTTTTTTGTTGACGGATTTTTCATTTTTTTTTCATACAAGCATGAATTTCTTGTGAAATAAAATGCGGGAGACCGTTAGCAATAATATTTCAAAAAACTAACGCCAGTGTTATATTAAAAAAAAAAAAAGCCGAAAAAGCAGTCTAAAAAAAAATTCAAAAATGAATGCGATTTTTAGCTGATTAAAACTTGCAAAAACGTTCTAAAAATTTGGAATAAAAAGTTGAAATTTTGATGAAAACTTTTTGAATTTTGCTTGGACATTACGAATATTAAAAAAAGAAATCAACACGTGGTAATTTGTTTGAGTCACTGCACACATATAACATAAATGCATATGCATGTAGGTGGTATGCTATTAAAATGCAATGCATTTGCACCAGTTTGATCTCCAAATTTATTTTTTCTCGATATTACCTTTGATGGTGTCAACAAATTGGTTTTTATAAATACACGAAGTCAAACATATTTTCTGACGTGTGTGGGTGACATCAAGGTTAAATAAAATGTTACTCCAACATAATTTTCATACTAAAATGTATGTATGTATGTGTTCATACCTACCCAGTATGGCATAGCTCAACAAATTTCTCAGAAAAAGTAATTTGTTTCTGCTTATTTAGCAACTAACTTCAAATTAATGTATAATCAACCTCCTCGAGATAAACCAAATGCTTACACTTTTGATATCTTTGCAAATAATTCAATATTAGTAGAAAAATCATTTAACTTTGGGCAATTAACTAGTTCAGCATTTCATACTAATTAATTTTAAATTGATTGAAAAGACATCTCCAAATATATGTATCACATATTTTTAAATTTCTATTTTTACAAAGTGCACACAATTCAAACTGAATATTTGAAACCACATTTACATGGCTGGCTGCAGCTGAACGTGAAGAGAAGCCTGCTGTTACTTGTTAGCTTCCAGAAGGTACGGGTTCGAATCTCAACGGCGACAACATGTAAAAATGATAATAATTTGTTTTTTGTTTGTGTCTTGGAAATATGAAAAAACATCTGTGAAGTGCTGAACGAAAGCGTATTCAAACGAAATATACTGACTTTAAAGTGCTTTACGCCAAATGCATTTTAAAGTAGTTGAAATCAAATACAGAGTCGCACTGCTTCCTAGGACATCGCCATGTTAAAATAAACAGTTCGTTCCAAGGCAGCAAATCATATCTTCAATTATTGGGGTGGGTAAAGAACTGGTTGAATATCAATATTTAAACCAGTTTCTTTCCATACTGGGTATGAATCTACGTCGCCACGTGTGAGGCTTACATACATACATATTTGAATTGAATTAAAGCGAAAAACTAGTTTTAGTATTAAATTCCAAATTGAACTCCTTCGCTGCCATGAAAATTTAGTAATTTATTTATTGAACTATGTATGTACATACTTAGAAGTCACGCATGTGATCCATATGCAGATTTCTTCCTCTCAATGTAATATAATATGAACGAGTAACTAATGAGATACACACTACATAATAGTACTCTCTGTGAACGATTTATATCAATTTATCAATTTGTAAAACGCAGTTTCTTTCATAATATATGAGCTAATATATATTTTACTTATTGTTAAATCATCATTATATAAATAGGCAATCATGTTTCCTTTACACCCCTTTT